AATTTAAGAGATTGTTTTAAGAAATAAAGGCACAATGCTGGATTTGGGTTACCACCCCTTAAATCATTTTTTAGGAGCATCTTGGAGAGACCTCAAACAATTTGTACTATTGTATGGGCCATTTCTTTTTGTTGTCCAGAATAATTTAATGGTAGAACACACACTTTGGTCACAAGACATGAAGAAATTGAGGTAATAACCAGAACTTTCTTTCCTGTTCTGTAGTTTTCATAGCATTGGGAATTGCTTGCTATTTAGGCTGCTTTTGGGGGAAAATTATCAATAATCTGACTTCTCTAGGAACACTGTGAGCTACAATAATGATCAACAGGGCAATATGTGACTATGAGTCCAATAGTGATATGAATGTTAAGGGACTAAACAACCACTTTATGATTGGATTTAAGGCTGGCTACATAGGAGGAATCTTATGATTAGTACTACTGCAAATCTGGTCAAGAACCCCTGGTTGGGGAACTCAAAGACACCAAAAATGACTACTACTGTATTTGCTAATAGGTTAATTACACTCCAGTGGATGATCCCATACCCTACACTCATAAGTATAGGGACAACACAAACTTGCTGTATTATAAAAGTAAAAAATAAAAACGACACAAATTTGGGAAGGGATTGGGAATAAGAGTGGATCTGGAATGATTTAGAGGGATGACTAGGGAGCGAACATAATCAAACGGCATGGTATACATTTATGGAAGTCTCAAAGAATTTATAAAAACATTGCATTAAATACAGAAAAACTTAGAATATTATTAAAAACGATATACAAATAAATGCAACCTTCATCAAAATATTCATGATGCCTGTACTAACTAGTTTAATGTCAACTGGATAAAAGCTAAAATCATTTGGGAAGAAGAAACTTTAGTTGAGGAAATGCTCCTACCAAATTGAATTATGGGCAATCTTATTGTGCATTTTCTTAATTAGTGACTGATGTTGAGGGCCCAGTCCATTGTGTGTGGTGCCACCCCTGGGAAGTTGGTCCTGGGGTGTATAAGAAAGCAGACTAAGCAAGCCTTGAGTGAAAAGCTAGCAAGCAGCACTCTTCTATGGCCTCTACGTCAGTTCCTGCCTTCAGGTTCTTGCCCTGACTTCCCAGGGTTATGGACTAAACACTTTCTTCCACAAGATGCTTTTGGTCATTGTCTTTCAACACAGCAATAGAAACCTTAAGATGATATTCTTCATAGTACTAGAAAAAAATCCTAAAGTTTAAATGGGATCACAATAAATATTAAAGTAATCTTATTTTAAAAGATCCATGCTGCAATCTTCATAAAGAATGAATAACAATATCTTAGCATACAAACAACCAAGTAGACCAATGGAACAGAAGGTCAGAGTATCAACAAATATATCAGCACATATTTAACCCACCTAGTCACATCAAGGATACTGAAAATATATTGTATAATAAGTTGGGAAAGGACACCATCTGCACCAAATGGTGCTGGGAAAACTATAGAAACAGATGTAGAAAAATGAAACTAGATTCCTATTTCCTAACCTGTCTAAAAATCAACTCAAAATGTGTTAAAGATGCTACTTAAGACTTGAAATTCCATTGTTTTCTTTCCAGTGATTAGTACTCCATTGTGTAAATGTACCACATTTTCTCCATCCACTCTTCAGCTGAGGGACATCTAGGTTGCTTACAGGTTCTGGCTATTATAAATAATGCTGCTATGAACATGGCTGAACAGATGCCCTTCTTGAAATTCTCAGGCAAATGGATGGAACTAGAAGAAACCATCCTGAGTGAGGAACCCAGCCATAAAAAGGTAAATATGGTATGCACTCACTCATATATGCATATTAGACACAGAGCAAAGGAGTACCAGCTTACAATCCACAGTACCCGAGAAGCTAGGAAACAAGGATGACCTTAAGAGAGACATACATGGTCTCCCTAAGAAGGGGAAAGGGACAAGATCTTCTAAGCTGATTGGGAGTATGGGGGGAGGGGAGAGTGAGTTAGAAGAAAGAAAAGGGGAGAAGAGGAGAGGAGAATAGGAGAGAGCAGGAAGATCAAGTCAGGGGAAGAACAGAGGATAGCAAGAAAAGGGATGACACAATAGAGGGAGCCATTATAGGTTTAAAGAGAAATCTGGCACTAGGGAAATGTTCAGGGATCTACATCTAAGCAATAGTCTGTGAGGCTACCTTAAAAGCCCTTCTCTGATAATGAGATTGATGACTACCGTTTTTGCCATTCTAGAGCCTTTATTCAGCAGCTGATGGAAGCAGAAGCAGACACCCACAGCTAAACCCTGGGATGAACTCTAATCCAGTTGCAAAGAAGGAGTGATGAGTAAAGGGGTCAAGACCAGGCTGGAGAAACCCATAGAAACAGCTGACCTGAACAAGGGGTTGCTCATGGACCCCAGACTGATAGCTGGTAAACCAAAATAGGACTGTCCCAGATCCCCTGAAGGAGGATGTCAGTTTGGAGGTCTGGTTAATCTATGGGGTCTCTGGTATTTATCCATAGTACACGAATAGACTTTGGGAACCCAATCCACCTAGAGGGATACTCTCTCAGCCTAGACACACACGGGGTGGGAGGGATCTAGGCCCTGCTCCAAATGATTTGACAGATTTTGAAGATCCCCCGTGAAAGGCCTCATCCTCCCTGGGGAGTATAAAGGGGATTGGTAGGGAGCAGGAGAGGAGGGAATGGAGAGGCAACTGGGATTGACATGTAAAAGAAATTTGTTTCTAATTTAAATAAATTTAAAAAATACTTGAAATTCAGGCTCCCAGAGGAAAGCAGAGAAATTCACATCATGATTCCAGCACAGGCAATGAATTTTGGGGTAAAATACCAAAGTCAATAGAAAAAAATTCAAGAATTGTTAAGCAGGATTCTATCAAATAAAAACATTTTTCCCTTTATCATGTAGGGAAATAGTCCTAAGAGTGCAAGAAACATCCTACAGCACAGAAGGATATCTTTACCAGCTATTCATTTGACAGATAGCCAATATCCAGGTGAGACGAAGAGGTCAAAATAATGAACAATCCAAGAAAAATGTACAAATGATTTTAATAAACACTATTCAAAAAAGAGAGAAAAATACAAATGGCTAATAATATAAGAAAAAAGAACTGCATAGTCTTAGCCATTAGTATAACATTGGACTCTCACTTTACAACAGTGAAAATAAAAATTATTCAAGAAAAACAAACATAAAATCATTCTGGTGAGGATGGAGAGCAAAGGGCATGTATTTGCATTGTTGGTAGAAATTTAATGTAGTACTGAAAACTGTATGATGAATGTTTATTATCTAAAAGCAAAACCTCTATAATTTTTAGCTACATAACACCTGGATACATTTGCAAAGCAAATGAAATCAACATAGGAAAGTGATACCTGACTGCTCATTTTGTCTGTGGTTTTATATACAATAGCTAAGTGATGGATTTTGCCTAGTTGCACATCTACAGAAGAATGGCTGGGCTGGAAAGTTTTATGTGAACATGGTACTAAAGTCATCTGTCAGGAGGGAACCTCAATTGGAAAAATACTTGCATAAGATGGGACTGCAGGTCATTTTCTTAATTGGTGATTGATGGGGAGGACCCAGTCTATTGTTGGTGGAATGCACATATAAAGTGGAAATTAGTCATGGGGGAGCGAGCCAGAAAACGGCACAGCTCCTACTTCCAAGTTCCAGCCCTTCTTGAGTTCATGTACTGACTTCCTTCAGTCATGGACTGTGATGTGGAAATGTAAGTCAAATAAACCATTTCCTCCCCAACTTGCTTATGGTCGTAGTGCTTCATCATATCAGTAGTAACCCTAACTAGTACAATGAGCAAAGAAAATGCTATATATGTACATATACATTGGAATCTTGTTTACTACAAGGAAGGATGAAATCCTTCTGCAGGCATGAAAATGAATGGAAATGGAGATCAACATATCAAGTGTAAATAAGCCAGACTCATAGACAAACACTGCTTATTTTCTGATAGATTTAGAAACTGAGATAACAACAAAAAAGTCCTGAAAGCGTAAAGTGATCTACTGGGGATTGGAAATGGACTAGGAAAGGGGAAGAGAGAAGAAAGGTGGGTGAGGGCAAAGAAGAAACCATAAATTGACATGATAAATGCATTAATGCCATAGTGAATCTCATTCATACAATAAACATTCATGTAAAAAAGAAAAAACAAGACTGTTGTACTGCTTCTTTAAATGGCATGGTAGAAAGGACAAGTATACAGCAAAGCAACTGATTTGTGGATTCCACAGTTTGTGAAGGAGGAAGGAAAAGTTGATTATAAAGGACCATCATTACAAATAATTTTGGGTAAATGGAATTCTGTACAGATATGTAATTTATGGAGCTAGTTATACTGTAGCAGACATTTGTGAACCTCATACAAGGGTTCCCTAAGTGGGTAAGTTTTACACTTGTAAGCAATATGTCAATAGAATAGATCTGATTATCATAATCACTTATGATAGGTCAGTATAAAGAGATATTCAACAATCTACAGATATTGATAAGAAAAGGGGATATTTCTATTCTAGAAGATTATTTCCAGCTTTTTAATAATAACATTTCATCGTGATTTACCTTACAAATAAAAATTACATTACAGATTAGTTTTTTTAAAAAGGTACTTTGAGCAAGTTCCTCCTTTGTTAATTAAATTACAAGTTCATCATAATGATTTCTATAAGCAGTGGTGCTTAGTTAAGTATAAGCTTGTATAGTGAGTTCATGGGTATGATAATAACCTTGTCTCAAGTTACATACTGTTGTTTCGTTGTTTGCAGTTGTGGAGTTGCCATCACAGATACTACTCTTCCCTCTTGTAGTCCAGTAAGCAATTTCATAATTTAGAAAGGTAATGGAGATAAACCAACTGCCTGAAACCCTCACATAACTGTAATTCACATGCATACACAAAATAGAGGAGTGATAACACCTGGAAATATGATTAACCAGTAAATGCCTTACCTTTGTGTTGGGGTTATGTAGCTATTATCGTAAGCCTCATAGGTCTGGTCATCATATTCACCCCCATAACCATCATCGTACCCCTGAAATATAAAGCAATAAAGTAACTTTTACAAATCAATCTGCTTTGATTTATTTTTGTTATCTAAGGATTTATGACCAATAAGCTTCGGTTAATTTCCATGCTTGGTTATATTTTAGTATATTTACAATTTCCACATAATGAAAAAAAATGCAGATTTTTGCTTTTATATTTTGTGGTGTTTGCAACTTTTTTTTTAAATAAAAAGAATATGAAGTTGGGTGGCTAAGGAGGGGTTGGATCTGGGTGTAGTTGGGAGAGGTAAAAGAATATAAGCAAAATATATTGTATGAAAAATTTTATTGAAAATTAAATGCATATAGAAAATATTTAATACTTGCCAATTAAACTCAGTCTGAGACACAGAAATGCCTACTTTAAGATTCATTTACAAGTTTGATCTATAGTAAAGACCAATTAAGAAATTAAATGTAATTCTTTCTTTTCAAAATATGTTTAGGAGCTAGAAAGATAGCTCTTTTTGGAGATATCTCTATGTTCAGGCCCCAACATCCACATTGGGTGTAGTCCAGTTTTAGGGGGCTCTGGCATCTTCTTCTGGCCTCTGTGGGTGTCCTGAAGTTATGTGCACATAACCCCCCACCACAGGTTCACACACATAACTACAAATGAGTAAATCTAAGAAAAATAAATTATTAGTATCTAGTATCACAAACTTACTGATGGTATAAATTGTTGCTGGCAATCCTACTCAAAGTATTGTTTTCTCCTAATACCCATCATTTAGACTGAAAACCTGAATGAAATACAGGATCCTTAAATTGTGATCATGTTTCAGGGATTAAAATAGTGGGGTCATCATTGCAAAAGTAAATAAATAAATTAATAAACAAATAAAAGGGAAGGAAAGATTAAAGTACTTTTAGTTTGCTGTAAACTTCATTGCTTTTAAATCTCCTAAGTGGTGTTGTGTGCCCAGTTTGATTAAATTACTCTGACAAAGTGACTGGAGATTTGTCATTCTAGAGTGTGCAAGCAAGTTAGCAATTACATGTTGCAGCTATCCATCACTCTGTGAGTGATTCAGTTTTATTTCCCTTTGTGGTCATTGACTTTAAACCCTCTCCATTTATCTTGACTACTCCCCAGTTCTGTTTCTAGGTCTTTGCTGGGGTGATTTTCTCTTTGAAATATACTCCCACCCAACCAAACTGGTTCACACCTCCACTTCCTCTGGAGACTTAACAAATATCTTATGCCAGAAACTAAAAACTGAAAGTTGCAGTTGTTTTAATAATGGTTAAAAATTTCACAGCCGTCTTGATTAAAATTTTTGAAACCAAGTAATCTGAAGGTTAGTATTTTATCGCTGAAGGAAATTTTTTTAATCTGAAAATTTATTTTTTTTCCTTTCTTCCATCCAGTTCTCCTTCATTTGACCCTATTATTTACAGTAACACATAAAGTCTAAAGCCCATGTCTTTAACCGTCTCATTCATTTTGATGTCATCAAATTTTTATTGTGAAATGGGTTCTTCCATGAGACGTTAAAGTACTTTAATTTAGCTACTATTTAATTTATTTTAAAAGAGATATTGCAAAGTTATCAGAGAAGCAGTCATTAAACAAAGTCTTACAATTAAAAATCATTTACAGCACAATCAAGAGCCTACGTATGAATTATCTGAAGAACACTGAAGGGTTTGTGTCACCAGGTGGTAGGAGTCATGTTTCTAGCTCTTCTCTGTTGCTCTTTCAGCCCTTTCCTATATTATTTCGTTGCACTCTGGTTCATATAGGTGGGCTGCTAGGCCTGAAGTTGGGCAGGTTTTCCTAGTTTCTCTCTTTGACACCCCCCACTGGCCTCAAAATGTTAGTCATAACTCCTGCTTCATGATCCATCATGCCTGGCTCCTAAGAACTTTTTCCTAGAGTTCCCTTAAAGCAGATTCATCTTTTTCCTGATTTCACTATTTTGTTGAAATTTTTTTCAGTAATTTCTACTATGAGGGATTCTTGAGAGATTCTTTTTTCTCCTCCTGTTTCTTTTACATTTCATCTCCTCTCCAGCCTAATTTGTTTTAGGGGCACAAGTTGAAAATTATAATTGTACCAAAAAGGGTAACTCACCTGTATACTTGCATGTTGCTGGCATCTTGTCTATTTGTGTTATATATTTATTATATAATCATATGATATTACATATTGCACATATAGTTTTAAGCCATTTGCAAATCAACTTTAAAAACATAGGCTATGATTTCAATAATAGTTGTAACCTAATAGAGGTTTTATATGGATTTTGTGAGACAACACATAATTTATTACTTTTAGAAACAAATATTATTTAGAAAAATAGCATGAAATTTAAAGACATGGTATTTTACTGTTTCCAAGATTATTCATGTAGGTTCTGACACACAATAAAATATTATAATATACTGAGTCATTACTTCTTCGAATTCTTGAAGTTAATATATTTTTGATGAAAGTCAGTGTGGTGTTTTGAATGAGAATGCCCGTACAATAGGATCAAAGATTTGAATGCTTAGTCACCAGAAAGTGGAATTATTTGAAAGGAGTAGGAAGTGTGGCCTTGTTGGAGGATGTGTGTCAATGAGGTTGGGCTCTGAGGTTCCCAAAGCCCAAGGCAGGCCCAGTGTCTCTCTCACCCTGCTGCCTTCGGATTTGAATGTAGAACTCTCAACTGCTTCTTCAGAACCTTGTCTGCTTGCATGCTGCCATGCTGCCCACCATGATAATAGATGAAACTTTTGAACTGTAAGCAAGCCCCAATGAAATGTTTTGCTTTATAAGAATTGGCGTCATGGTGTCTCTCCACAGCAATAGACCATGTTCTTTTGTGTGCTAACAAAATTATTAAAATAAAACCATGAAAATAAGTTTAGGGAAAATAATTTTCAATCAAAATTTTGTAAGCTCTGACTCAATGTTTTCTCTTTATACCATTGCAATTTAAGAATTTCTTTTGCTTATATATGATAAATATTTTATTTTCTTCCACTTTCTGGATGGTTTCCCAATTGCTGGTGGTCTTTCTCTTCGTTGTTGTCTTTTATTAGGTTTCAGTTAACATGTACTAACTGTCTGTGTTACTGACATCTAGAGTGTCAGTGACATCTAGTGTCTGAAGGCTCCATAGATGCCCTCAACACACACTGTTCAAATGCAGCCTCCCTGTGTCCTCTTTCCCTCACATTTCCTATCTGCTTTGAGTCATGAAAGCACATTCAGGTGGAAATGTACATGCGGCATTTGTATTTCTGAGCTGGCTTATTCTAGTTAATATCTTCCAATTACACTCACTTTCCTGCAAATGATAGGATTTCATTCTTATGTGCAGTGACTACATAGTAGTATTCCATACATGCAGCTCTAAATTTTCATCATGGTCTGCTTTTACATGTTTCCCTTCCATAGATCTGCATACATAAATAGTTCTGTTAGTTTAGAGTCTTACATTCTTGTAGATTAAGGCCTCTTAATAAACTTTGCATCCTAAATTAAGACTGCAATGTATCTGTGGTCCTATGTGATTCTTCTTATTTTTATTTTTACTTGAGGAATTCTTCATATTCATTTTTCAAATAGAACATTTCCCTTCAGTTACACATATGCATCACTAATTGTGTGTGGAGAGGACTCCCACAGAAGCAGCCTATTCTCAGACCAAGAATCGTCTTTCCTCTTTGGTGGACAACAATTCCCATCCAAGGGATTATCCAGAAGCTATCATAGAGCATCTCGGGACACTATCCATGGAATCTAACCTGAAGTACAGCAGATGAGTATCTCTTCCCATATCTATGTTCTTGATCCTCCACCAAATAATCACAAACCATGTGGCTGCACTCCTCTTCCCTTATTCAGGATTTTCATACTCTAGTCTTGAGTAGAAAGTAGGTGTTAAAAATGATTCTGGTAATTTTATCTTGCATATTAAATTTGTATCCCATGGAAGCAGCTAGCTGAGCCAGGGTCAGTGTAGGTCCCTATTTTTGTGACTCTGCTACCCTAGATTTCCCATTTCTTCTATCTCTGTCTATTGAAATTCTGGGGCATCTTCAAGGTCGTATTACACAACACTGTCTTAAGGAAATGCTTTTTGCAGTTACCAAGCATATGGTGACTTCTGTGTTATTATAGCCTATTATTTGCTGTAACTTGTATCTACAATGTCTACACATATGCTTCATTCATTTTTTCTATATTTTTCAGGTTTTAAATTTTGATTCCTTTAAAAAAAAGGGTGGTATACCACAATTTCACTTTTTTGGTTTTATGAGACAGGGTTTCTCTGTTTTGGAGGCTGTCGGTCCAGCCTGACCTCGAACTCACAGAGATCCGCCTGCCTCTGCCTCCCGAGTGCTGGGATTAAAGGCGTGCGCCACCAACGCCCAGCTGGGGGCCTGTGGTATTTAATTTAGTATATTCCATAGAGTAGTCATCTAATAAATATACACACACACACACACATATATATATATATATATATATTGAGTTGCTAATGTAGCACAAGGAATATTCTTTTACAAGGTGGATACAGCATGGCTCAGATGAAACAAACCCAGAGAGAAATACTTCAGATGGTAGGATTTAGCAGTATCATTCCCCCTTTTGAAAAACACTATGGACTCCTCTAGGACCTATACCTGTACACTTTGACTTCTGTAAAAACCTTACAGAGAAAGTTCTTAGAGTAGAGAGGCAGTTTCCCTGTTAATTCACAATTCATAAAGTATAAGGCTCAAATTTTCCTATTATTTACTAATGAAGAAAAATAAATGTTAATATATGCACATTATTTTTGTTTTCTAATACTTGGCATATCTTTAAAAACAACTTTTAGTACCAAGTTTTTCTAAGCAGGAATGTTGATTAGAGTGTTTGCATGTGTGTAGATATTTAAAATAAACAGTTCTGCAGAGCAACAAATGGTCACTAATTAGCCCACAGTCACATAAACAACGTGTTTGCCAATATTCCATTCTAAGCATTTGAAACAAAATCATAAATTAT